TGCATTTATTTAAGTAGAACATATGTTTAAATTTAAAAATAGCAGGCTACATCATAGGTAATTGATCCTGTGTGGCATATCCCTGTTTGAGTCCCTGTCTCAGTTTCCGGTGTGACGCTTACTTGGTTGCAACTTGGGTTTGGCTTTCTTCACGGCCACCTCTTCTGGGGCCTGAAGTCCTGATTCTGAGACAAAATTTCCACTTATAGGACCTTTGTTCAGATGTTAATTTAAATTATCTCTTAAAACTAGTTTCCTTTCAAGAAAGACAATCTATAGAAATCAGAAACAAAACAGGTGGAAGAAGGTAAAAGAAGAATTTCAAAGTGAGTTGAAATGGGCTGAAAGAGTTGAGGATGTAAAGAGCATGAAAGTACTAATTAAATCATTTAATTTGAACATTTTATTAGTTGGTCAATTTTAGTAACTGGTTGCTAAATGCAATGAGACTGAGATATTGACTCAATTTAGCCAAATAAGTAAATAATGAATGGGTTAATTAATCAACATTTTTAAATAATCCAACTAGTCTACCTGGCTACAACTGACATCATGTAATATCAAGGGAATGCTATTAATAGGCATTTATTGTATTCACTTTTTTAGGATGTCAGAAGAATTAAGAACTCTCAGATTTGAAAAACACGTAAATGTAAGATTCCTCCTTGATAATGTTGTGTGATGGATAAAAAATGACCTCATTAAAAATTCAAGCTGGGTGACTAATGGAGCCTGAATGCAGTGCTATTTCATTTAGATACATATTGTGCTCTTGTATGTTTATAGAGAGTAATTTCACAATGTTCTTGTTTACACTCAGGATTTTACTATATAAATGTGAAAGTAATTTTCCTATTCCTGTAGTCTTTGTCAGCTGGTTCATTTTGTTTAACATATGGAATTAAAAAGTCATACTGAGCAGTTCTACAAATCACAGTTTCAAATGATGCAAGACAATAAATAGCAAGGAATGCACAACATATGGTTATGTTGAATGATAACTCTTAGTGTGGATGCTGGCTGACAGAATGGATGAGTGCTCTCCAGGCAAAATCATATTGTGTGAATTAGTCACACTAAATTTTTTAATGCATATTTATCAATATATGCCAGATTTAAGGAGTTTAGAGTCTTACTAGAAGTAGAAATAAAAAGATCTAAAAATATTATTGAAAAATGAATTTATATTACCAAAAAAAAAGCCAAATGGAAGCATAATTCCGCACCTGAGGACTGCTAACACATGCCAATGTAAGCTACTATCCCTGGGAGGACTCAACATAAGTTTTAGTGTATGTTTTCAATTTTCTAGTTTCCTGTATTTCAAAAGAATAAAAGATTTTATTATTGGGAGCCCAAAATTGCACATTAGCTAGTAAGAAACCAGAATTAAAAAGGAGGAAAAGAAATGAAGCACAACAGCTTCAGACAAATTTTAAATGATGTCATCTAAGAAGACGCAATAATGATCAACATTAAGTTTTCTAGTCAACCTGATATTTTTATAACTCTTAAGAAGAGTTAAAAATACAGCATAAAAGGTAGGAAAAACAGAAGACAGGTCCCCTGGTGATGTGAGAAACAGAAATGCTATCATGTGTACAAAGAAAGGATGAATTTTCAACCAAGGCCACACTACCGTCTTGCTCTGGCTTCTGAGAGGCTCTCGGCCTCATTGCACTTCCTCCTTCCCTTGCTCCCTTCCTCTCCATCCAGGCCCTTCACTCCCTTCACTCCCTCCACTCCCGCCCCTCCGACTTTCCTTCTGGAAGCATGCTCACAAGCTGCTTCCTCTGCTAAAGTACTGTGCTCTAAACCCGGACTATTCTTTATCCTTCAGTTTAGAGCTCAAATGATGATTCTTCAAACTACATCCCCCTCCTTACGTTCCCTTTAAATTATGAAATCCTTCAAAAGTTTTCAATTATATATCTATCTAATGATATAATTAAAACTTGTCTCCTTTCATAGAGACTAGGCTCTATGAGATCTGAGATTGTGCTAGTTTGCTTAGCAACGTTTCCCAAGTGCTCAGCACGAAAACATTCTGTTAGAGGAATGATGACTGACTGACTGACTGAATGAATGAATGAATGAAAGCCATAGTCAGAATTTTTTTGTTCTCAACAAACATCATCTACTGTGCATTTCCTTAGTCACTGTAAAGTCATGTGGTAATCATACAATTAATATAAACTCTATTGAGAGGCAGAGGATACAGAGGAAGTAATATTGTCTGACAACAATGTTTCACATCTAGTATAGGCTTAGAATTGAAAACATGCAATGAAGTCAGGCTTCCCTGACAAGTTAAGTGGGATATAGTGGCTAATATGCCATGGTAATATGAACTCTAAACAGAAAACTTTCTGTGTGATCTTCTCTTCACCACTAAGAAAAGTATAAAAATTTGTGTCATTCATTCTTTCTCAGTTAAGCTTTTCTAGTTAAACAGTGCATAGAAGGACAATGGGGTGGTGGAATCTTGGTTCACATACAAAACTCATTAAGTATTCAGCATTTTGAAAGCCCTTGAAAATAATCATCCAAGAGTTACTTCTACTGAATGTCCTTAGAACATACACTTCAGAAGATATCCATCCCCAGGTCCCCAGTATGGGGGATGGGAGAGACATGTCCACATTGATGTTTCCCTCCCTTCCCCTCTCTTTAAGAATAAATAAATTCTTTTTTAAAAGTTTTTTTTAAACAAAGAAGATACCCATCCAAATATTTAATTTACTTTTACCATAGTACAGGTGTACCAGTGGGCAATACCTTCCTTAGTGCAGTAAACTGAAAGGGCATAGTACACAGTCAAATAGCTTCCTAAACTGTAGTTCACAAGTGCTGAACTAACAGTTTAAGTTGGTAAGATAATACCAATAACACAATAATAATAATTACACTGGTGTTATGGCTAAATTTGGGGAGTTGAAATAAATCATTCATATAAAGAAAGTCCCTATTCTCTTTTATGAACACTGGAGAATATGCCATTGATTTAATCCACTGAATAATTATTTTAAAATCATTCAGTAGTTGTGTGAATTTAAATGAGTTATTTAACCTTGGAGTAACATTGTACAATACAGTTTTTGACACTGTTTAACAAAATTGGGTCAACATTTCCATACTAGTTTCCACTTAAGATAGTATTATTATTTTCTAGAGTAACTTAAGGGATTTTGAAAATTACATTTGTCTTGGGTTAGAAAATAATTTTAAGATACTAGGAGTAACACATTTTTTTTAAAACTTCCAAAACAAACTGGATTATTTAATTATAAAAACTGTGACCATTATAAATGCACTATTTAGCTTCCTATTTTTGTGAGTATTTTCTTAACTTTCTCATACGGCTAAAGAATAATTATTTTCATATAAGAATGGAATTACACTTTTTAAGTTCAGAAGTATTCTTCATTACAGCTTTTACATTGACAAGTTAATGTGCTAAGTTTTCCTGCACAAATGAATGGTCTATCAGTAATCACGCCGCGGCCCACGCATTAAACGGTGTGTAGAGCACAGGACTCGGAGGAGCCTCCTTGGCTTTACTCGCTTCTTTACATTCGTCTGAGGAAAATCCTGCTGTTTTTCATGGAAAACAGAGAAAGGAGCTCAGAAAAGGTCAGAAGTGGAAACTGAACAGAATTGAATCATTATTATGTAATTTCACTATTTTTATTTAATATTAATTCCTAAAATGTTAGGCATACTTATTATCCAAAGCAAATATACTTCTATAGAGTTTGACTTCACTTTCCCAGTTTTAATATGACATAATAATATACTTTAATAGTATCCACAGAATATAAACAGTTTCACTGTAGTGTTCTAACACATTTTCTGGTGAAACTATTTTAATTTTTCATTATTTAGTACTTTCATTTACTAAAATGTTTACTACAAGTGACTACAAAGTCTTCTTTTATATTTGATATATATAATTTGCCTGGAAATTTTGAAGGTTTATTTACAAATTGAATTCTCTCAGTTGAAAAATAATATAATTTTTATCAAATGCAGCTAAATTATAATTACTACTTCATCATACTATCTCATAAACTCAGAGGGAACTGGGTTGTTATACTTTTGCACCATGAACATGAATTAAATATGATGCATGAACAACATGTTATGACTCGCTAATATTCATATGCGGGTGAGATGGGACTGAGAGCTCACCAGTTAGTTCAAAGTAACAAAGTATCTGACAAAGACCAAAAATGGAACTCAGAGTCCAATAAAATGTTCTAAAGTGACTCCCACTGTCTATACAATTTTTTAAAATTTGGAACATAATTTCAAAGATTCTAATTTAGAATCTTAAGGCTGGTGTATTCCCCTCACTCTGGTTTTGTGCTCACAAAACTATATGTGTATATTTCTGCCTCTCAATAGATTACAATAAGCTCCTTGAGGTGATAGACCAAGTACAGGCTTTAAAATAAATGATTGGCTATGCTGCTTTGAAAAAATAACTGTATCTTTCTGGTTGTTTTTCCTCTGGAAGAAGGAAATTAATATCTACTTTTCAGGGTTTTTGTGAGATTTCAGTGAGAGTTATCTATGTTTGTATCTCCCTCTCTAAACCTTGTCACTGTAATAATAACAGTATCAAATAAATACTTAAATAAATTTGAAAATTGTCATAATTTTGTTTTATTGATTAGTATTAAAATAGTACAGATTAGTATAGATCAGTACTTAGTTTTTTGAAGCCTATAAAATAACCCACAACATTTAGGAATGTGCTAAAAATTTTACATTGTGAAATACTACACAAATTTAAAAGATGAATAAATTTATCATTCATAGACATATTTCTTAACCTTATATTTTTATGAACTTTGATTGCTAATAAACACTTAAGTAATTTATTGCTGATTCATGTTTATGTTTTGAAAGTGGTAAATTGTTCAAAGTGCAATAAAATTATAGATATTAGGAGAGACTTTACAGATAACCTAGTTCAATTCTTTTTTTTTCTCTCATGTCAGATGGGTAATGTGCTGGTGTCGTAATAAGGTTTGTGGGGGAGGCACATGTCACACAAAAGCGTGAACACCCAATCATCACACTTACGAACTACAAAAGGATCATCAATTCTTTCATTTTACACATAAAAAATGAAATCCCAGGAAGGTGAGATAACTTGGACAAAAACTGATAGAAATTAAAAACAAACATTAATCAATGATTATCCCTTCCCCACTTTGTTCTCAAAACACAGAGCTGGGAAGACAAAGAAAAAATACAGAAGATGCCAGAGGGAATATCTGAAGGGACTAGGGGACCCAGAATTTCTTAAAGAAGGGCTTAGGGGACTGCAGTTTAGGGTTAGAGGCCAGTATCTTTTCACCCCTAAGGAACAATCTACCCACATCTGCATTTGTTTGGGAGGCTTGGCTAGAGCACATTAACCTAACTGATGATACATGCATCCTTGCTGAGAACTTACCAGAGCAAAAAGCTGTTTAGAAAGGTAGAAATAGGCGGTATTGAAATTTAGAAACATAAAGATTCATCATCAGTATCTGAACCCAAAGGTCCACAATGATATAATTAGCAGGCAATTCAAAAAGCTAATATGGTTTATATCAACTTTTTAAGTAATATATACAAAATAAATATTGGAATGGTCATCTAAACATGGAAAAGAAAATGAACACAATATTAACTGCATATCTGTTGTAGAAACAAACACATTGCCTATAGTAAAAGCTTAAATAAAACATTTGGTGTTTGATTCAGATCTAAACTTCTTTCATCATTGTACTATGCCAGTAAGAAACCTGTTTCAGCAACGTATGTATTCAGAAAAATCTTAGTAACCTCAAAACCTTATACTCAGTTCACACATAGAGCACAAAGACTTAAGATACAGCTTTCCACATGAAACCAGTATGTTACGTTCTTCCCCCCGCCCTGAAATCTATCAGACAAAACACTGAGACCAGAAGTCCCATGAGGGCAGGGGCTGTGTCTGTTCTCTGCTCTCTGGAACGCTCAGCACCCTCTACTATACCTGCACATAACTGATACTCATTACTCATGTGCATACAGATTGACTGAGTGAAGTACAGAATCATCTGACTATTTCAGACTGTAATTTTATTTTTGCCATATTAACCTACAGGAATAGTTTGCTTACTCTAATGTTTGCAAATGGGAAATATTTTCAGCTCACTATTTTAGAGGTAATACAACACTCTGAACTCTGTGAAGCCAAGGGATTATGAGCTAATAAATAAATTTACATAATAAACATAAACCAGCAAGAGCAGCTCATCACACTGGGTTCTCACATGTATTGTCTGGAGACATAAGCAAGCCCCTTAGTATACAGACGGCATTTTCAAGTGCTAGTAGATCAGGCCAGTTGTGGAGAGAATAAAACCCAATGAGAAATAGACAAACAAAACAATTGCAGAATTAACTGGAAAGTTCTTGATTTTATGCAACCAACTGGACAACTCCCTCCTATCAGGCTGGCAGTCTCCTGAAGGCCTGGACTGCCTGTGCGTCTTAGCACGGGCATTGTCTCCACCAGAATTCGAAAACTTCCTGCTCTCTGGGCTCCTGTGCACTGTGACAAGTTTTGAGGAATCCGAGAACTTTTGTTTATATAGACTATATCTGTCATAGACAAAATAAAACTAAAACAATTTAAAAATCTTTATTAATTCATTTAAAAATGAAAAATAAATCCAGTATATGGTAACACAGAGAATGTACTCTTTATTAAAAAAAAAATCATTGTATTTCTCACAGAAAAAATCTTGCAAGGGCATGTTTTACGCTTTTCCAAATCTGTCTGATGGCTGGCTTGAGTCAAAATCACTGGATTCTCACTAGCCTCTGCATTCAGTGACATTGGACATGTCACTCTCACTGAAGTATATGAAGAAAGTCTGGCTCGCCCAGGCATGCGGCTGGGGAACGGCTACCTTGTGGGTCACCGCAGATGCCCGGGAAACACCCAGGGTCCTCGTTCCACACTGGGAAAACCACTGGCCTGTAATATCATCTGTCGTGTGACTATTGTTCAATAACTATTTGCCAAATCAATGAAAAGTTTAAAGAAAAAGAAATAAATTCTCAGGCATACATAACACATACCCAAACATACAAATGATTTACCCATTTGTTTTTATTCAACTGATCATATTCCTTTGTTTATTAATCCAGCTTCTCAATTCATTACAACTACATTGGGATGCAGATCAAAGGGAGGGTATGCAGAACTGAAGAGTAAATTATAAAAATAAAGTATATAAGTCTAAAATTAAATAAAAATAAATGGATGACTAGAAGAAAACATTTCACATGAAAAAATTCTGAGCATAACCAAATCGAGTGGTTAACTTGAATACTATACAGGTTTCTTCCAAGCAGTAAATTAGATTGAAACACCTTATTGAACAAAAACTACATTCTAATATTTTTATTATCTTATATGTCATTTCTAATTAATCTATGAAAACCACAAGAAAAAAATTTGCTTCTATTTTTGGCATTCCTGTTTTAAATATTAATAGGAATTAATTGAATACCAGGGAAAATATGTGGATTTAAATATTATACAATATCCAAAATCATAATTCTTGCTCTTTAAAAATAGCCTTAAATTCAGAAATAGAAATATAATTTTTAAGATTATATATTTTAATGTAAATTCACTACTTGCCAAATAATGAGATGACTCACTTTTCCTTTTCTTGAAGCTGATGTTCCTGAACGGCCACTTTAGGCTCCGACCCAAGATTGTTCTGCGTTCGCTGCCTTCTCTTCCTACTTGGTGCAATGTCAGTGACGTCAGGACTTGAAAAAATGGAGTCGTCTCTTCTTGAAGTAGCTAAAATAAAATGATATAAAAATGTGATCCACCAAAATTATGCATTATAATTTGTGAATAAAGTATTAACTTGTGGCTTTAGCCCTGACATAAAGTGACACAATTAAACTCAACAAAATGAAGAATCTGGCAACACCAATTCAAAAGAGCCTATGCACCCCAATGTTCACAGCAGTGTTGTTTACAATAGTCCAGTCCTGGAAACAACCTAAGTGCCCATCAGTAAATGAGTGGATCAAAAAACTGTGGCGCATTTACACAATGGAATTCTACACAGCAGAAAGAAGGAGCTCTGACACTTGGTAACAGCATGGATGGAACTGGAGAGCATTATGTTAAGTGAAGTAAGTCAGGTGGTGAAAGACAAATACCATATGATCTCACCTGTAAGTGGAACCTAATCAACAAAATAAACAAGCAGGCAAAATAGAACCAGAGACAGGGAAATAAAGAACAAACTGACAGTGACCAGAGGGGCGGAGGGAAAAAATGGGGGAAAGAAGGGAAAGGTTCAAGTCAAGGAACATGAATAGAGGACTCAGGGGCATGGACAATGGGGTGGGAATTGACTGTGAGGGGTTCAGGGGAGAGCAACAGGGAAAAAGGTGGGACAACTGTAAATATACAATAATAATAAAAAATTAAAGTAAAAGAAGTTTTTTTAAAGGTCATGCAGATTTGAAGTAAGCCAGTAAGTGTGCAATACTTTAATATTCATATAAAACATAAAGTACATTATATTCATGGAATAATTTGACCAAAATGGCCTTTGCCTATCTTGAGCAACAATCTTCCCAAATGCTGCTTTATAGGCATTTTGATTTCTTGGTGCTAGAGCTACACAGAAGTGCCTCAGAGACACCTCTAAAAGGCATTTGGATGGGAAAATAATACTATAGGAAAAACAGAAATCAAATTGATACTAAACAACAATTTTTAGCACAAATGGAAATTTCTCATAGTGATCTAGAGATAGGTACACAGACTTTTCAACTAACAATGAGGACTGAGTACAAGAAAAATGTAAGAAAATACTAATAAGCCCTGGCCAAGTAACTTGGTTAGAGCATCGTCCTGATAAGCCAAGATTGCAAGTTTGATCCCTGGTTGGGAACTTGTAAGAATCAACCAATGAATGAATAAGTGGAACAACAAATCTACTTTTTTTCTCTCTTTCCCTTGCTATCTCTGTTTAAAATCAATAAATAAAAATTAAAAACAAAAATACTAACAGATGTCCACAATGTAGTAAACCATTAAATTGCTTCTAAAAGTGTTTGATGTACATGAAACAGAAGCAATAATGGAAACATATTTGATTTACATCACTTTATTCTCTTATAAGCAAATTAGTTACAGAGAACTTGAGGGTAAGTTTAGAATTCTTTCATGTAATACACAGTGTAATCTGTTATAATACATATTTCTATAAAAGAAAAGAGATCCTTTGCTATTGGTAAATAATAAACAATATCAATATAATTTGGACTTTGGATGTCCTGCTAGCTCATGATTTTTTCCTCTAGAATGCTAATGTTTTAAAGTAATCAGAGTCAAGCTTTCATCCCAAGTAAAGAGAAAGACTTGGCAATGTATAAAGGCTAAAAAAAATGAAGATCAGTTGCTAAAAATCTTGTACATTTTTTAGCGTGAGTAGAAGCTGGTCCAGTAAAGCCAGTAACACTACATTTTTCAAAAGTTCAGCTCTCTGTTAAAGCTGCAATTACAGCTGAGCAAGCTGTGGAGACATTTCTCCCTGTATCTTGAATCCAATATTTAATTTACATGAAACTACTGGAATCAAATGCATTCATTAACTTCTATCTCCATTGGAGAGGAGGTGTGACGCTGGGCACAAATGTTGCTAAAGAGTGAAGTTAATATTTCTATTAGGATTGTAATGAGAACTCAAAGCAACCTAAAGCTAAATGAACTTTGTGTGGTCTGCACAAATCTTAACCTTTTTCCTCCATGACCTTTATTATTTTTATTGTACAATTCAGCAGAAGGAGTAGTTTTTCGAGCACACATTTATCACATTCTAGAAGGAAACACTGTACTTTGAGTTCTCCCTGCTCAGTCCATGCTTCTCTGGGTGACCTGAGGTCATTAGATGCTGTTGACCATGCTCCTGAAACTCTTCGTCTTTGGATTTTTTAAACATCATTTTAAAGAACATATATGCTGGGTGCTTTGCTATGGGTTTTATATATATATTACCTTATTAATCTTTAACTTTGTG